GTATTTCCCAAGACAGCTTAATTTTGGGGGAGTTGACATTTCTGACCTCTCCAACATGAATCCAAGAACTCCATTCAAGATCTAGGAGGTGGTTAAAGTGTCCTTTGCAAGTAAAGGTTACACATTCCCTACACTTGAATCAGTTGAGTGGCTCCTAAGACAAGCTTGGATATCTGGTTTCTTAGTCCACAACTCATTAATGGTGAGATATTGCAATGAGAAAAGGAGTAAAAGGAGAGGACCATAGGTAGGGGAAAGGAAGGAAGGCTAGATGCATCAATAAAACTACCTGACAGAAAAGGAAGAGGCTGGAAAACTACAAGAACATAAGAATTTGTCAATTTAAATGATACAATTGTTGAATAGCAATTCAACTCTACAACCTCAAATAGCACCTGCCATCCCAAGGGAGGAAAAAACTAATACTGTGCTACTGCTATTGTAAATGACCTGGAACAAGGGCAGTCACCACTGTGTGAAGCCTTCCCTGTTTGGGTCACCCTGTTAGACACTACATCAGTGCATTGTAGGCAACACAGTGACTACCACAACAAAGACCTTGAATTGTCAGGATAGCCAGAGAGTGTTAGTAGACCCTTCCTTTTTTCATAAAAATGGAACAACATGTAAAAACAGAAATATATTTTAAATGATTTCTTCCCCCAAATCATTATTTTCCTTTATATATATTTAAAAAATAAACTTTTACATTTAAATTTTCTTATTTGAAAGTTCTTTTTAAAATTAAATTAGTAAGAGTTAGTTGGAAGGGCTGTTTCACAATCAATGCCTAATATTTTAGGCATCACTGAACCACACATGACTCAAAAAAGGAGAGAGGTGTGTACATATGTGCACATGTATATGGGGGTTGGATCTTTTAGGTTTTTTTGGTTTTGTTTTCTTTGTATGTGTGTTTTAGATTATAGTTTCTATACAGTTTTTTTAAGAAGTCCATAAAAAGGCAGAGATTACATCTCATTCTTAATTCTATTTCATGAGAACCATAGGACTCATCTCTATTATTGTAAAGATATAATGTGACATCTAAAAGTAATAAATATTTTTTAAAGACTAGAAGATGAAATTTTACAGTAAAAAATTGTGACTCTCCAATAATGTGGAATATTGTTGAGTATGATATAGCTTTTTGGTACTGTCAAGCCACCATTTTTCTGGATAGTTGTTTTCTTTGTTCCTTCTGTAGCCCCACTGTGTCCCATGTCTCCTGTCCCACTCTGTGTGAACCTTTCCATGTACTTCAGGTATTGGTGCCCACATTTGTTCACATGGCCTTCTGACCCTATATGTACATTTCTTTGTTTTATTTATTTATTTATTTATTTTTGAACAGGGTCTTGCCCTGCCACCCAGGCTGGAGTTCTGTGGCATGATCATAACTCACTTTAGCCTTGAAGTCCTGGGTACACACTATCTCACTTAGTAATTTTTTTTTTTTTTTTTTCTGTAGCAATGGTATTGCCCAGGCTTGTCTCAAACTTCCGGCCTCAAGCCATCATTCTGCCTTGGTCTCCCAAGGTGCTCGGATCACAGGCAAGAGCCACCACACCAGGCCTCTTTTGTATCTTAGTGCAACTAATTTATTAAAACAAAATGTCCCATTCATGAGATAGGCATTTTAAAGATTCAAATCAAAATCATAATTGGAACCAACCAATGAGCACACATGTGCACAGAGGGAAGTAAAACTCAGTAGATCAATGGGAGTGGGGTGGGGGGGAGGTGAAAAATCTACTTAATGCGTGCTAGGTATAATGAACACTGTTTCTGTGATGGGCACATCTATACCTGGGACTTCAGCATTACAAAAGCAATCCATGTAACCTAAAACATTTGTACCACCTTATTATTTTGAAATAATAAAAAAGGATGTAACATCTGGGTGACATATATAAAAGGAAATGGAGAAAATAATTCAAAAACTTAAATCTCTTAGAGAGTAGATATAAAGTTTGTTTAATTTGTATTAAATTAATTTTTTGCTTTAAAAAGCATAATGGATATATAAAAAAGAACATGTGAAAGAATGAGAAAAATTACAGGTAGAAAATTATTATCATTTGAGTCTCCAAAATTCACCATAAAACATATTTGTACCTGGTCTACTTATCATGTGAACACAAAAATTTACAGCAATATCACATGAGTTAATCACTTCTTACATGCCTCATATCATCCATCTCTCTACACATTTTTTTAAAAAATAATAAAAGAAAGAAAAAATTATGATAGCCACAAAGACTATCAGATGTTCTCATTCAATCTTAGATAAACATTACAATGTCCCATCAGCTAGGAAAAAATGCTGTCCCTCTAGCAATGAATGTGAGGGCCATATTTAGAAAACTTGAAGCAAAGTGAAATTTATTCATAATCTACTACTTTTGTCTTATTTAATCTCTTTCCTAGGGACCAATCCCAGTCAACAATTGTAAATCTTTAAGATGTGAAACCATTACCTTTGGTATGCTTTTTATACACTATTAAAAATGAGTCTACTGTATAAATTTTATTTGACATAGATTTCCTTGACTAAAAAAAGTATATATTTTGTTTTAGATTGAAGATTAGAAAATTATTAAACAGATGTTCCTAATAAAGCAAGAAAAACTTGGAAAGTAGAGATATCAGTCTTACTTTTAACCCTGAAATGTAAAAAATTCCTGAAATGTGAAAAAAAATTAGACTTAGAAGTCATAAATGTTACACTACTTCATGTCACTTATTCTGTCCCTAAGGTGTCAATAGGTATCTACAAATTCTATCTAGTGAGAGTAAAGGGGAGAGCTGTATCAGAGAGTATACTGCAAGAGAAATTACTGATTTACTCTCAACAATTTTGGTTCTACTTTTTGCATTACAGAAAGATTCTGAGAGCCCATATGATTTTGTTAGTATCTAATAGTGTCTTTCTATTTTCCTTAAGAGTCAAAAGTAAATATTAAAAGCAATTTGACTATTCATTTGTACTATCTGCATTTTCCCTCCCTTCCATTTATGTAAAGTAAAATACTGAGGTTAATGTAACTCAGGGGCATGCCCTTTCTCTGAAGAGTTGATGCATGGTTAATAATAGCACATGGGAAGGAATTCGATTCTTTGCTTCCTAAGAGCTATAAAGAGCCTAGATCACTTTGTCATGTACAAGCTTTGTTTTAGAAGCACACAAAGCTTGTTTTTAGAGTCAGCTGGGAAAGTCTGTGACATATAGCACATAGACTGATTCTAACAGATGGATTTTTCTTGAAATAACTTCATTAGCTAATCATTTCTTTTACATATACTTTTTCTAGCTAATTGGCACAGCCGCCAGCTGGAGCTGTTAAGGATCCTCCAAAGAAGCTGATAGGTAGGGAGAAAATCCAATCATCTCACCAATTTTAAGATGAAAATTCCATTAATTTCACTCTAACCATTATGCATTTTAAAAGTAAAATATTTATTTTTATTTTTTCCCTTATTCTCAATACCTTACATGATCTATGTGAAAAAAAGCCAAATCAATCAATCAATCATCTGGAAACAACCTTAAACTTTAATAAATTATCTAGATTAGGGTTTTCCAACCTTAGCACTATTGACATTATAAACCAGATAATCCTTTTTTTTTTTATTTTGTGGTGGGCTGTCTTGTCCATTTAGGTTATTAAGCAGCATCCCTGGCCTCTACCCAAAAGATGTCAGTAGCACCCCCAGTTGTGACAACCAGTAATGTCTCTAGACATTGCCAAATATCCCTAGGGGCAAAATTGCCCTAGTTGAGAGCAGCTGCTCTAGAAATAGATTACTCCTAATTTTTAATTCAATTCTGAAAATAATTTAAAAATAAGTTTATGTTTATGTATATGATGTATGTAATTCCAGACATGACCAATATATTAGAAATTGGTGCCTTCCAATTAGATAAACAAAATGTTTTAGGAGGGATTATTTCAATAGCTAATGTTTTTATAAATCTCTCTGGGTAAAGGAAAAAAAATGACAGAATTAATGGCTTATATCTACCAAGGAATGTTTATTATCTAAGAAATGTCATCATCATCTTCATCAACAAACGCATTGAGGATTTCTTTTCCTCATATGACAGTAGAAATAGATAAATAACACAATCTTGTGGAAGGATTATCTGAGACATAAATGATTAATTATAAGTTTAGGTGCCTAAGGCATTTTTAAATAATAGAAAGTATATTTTAATGAAATGGACACAGAAAAAAACTAATGTGGATGTGTTTTGACTTTACCATATACTTGTGGAGTGATTTGGAGCTCGTGAAAGGGCTACTCATTCAGATAAAGAAACTTTCTGGTCTTTGAAATTGAGTAGTAAAAATAATGTTCACCACCTTGATGATTTTTCTGTAAATTGTATATCAATGGATCTAGGAAGAGTATCACAGAAATAAGACATGAACTACCACAGCTTTTAAAAGGAAAGCAATGAGTCTATTCCAGTTTTTAGTGAAGGTAAGAACATAACCACCTGAAGAATGCAGAAAGAATCATTTGTTACGGCAAAAAAGTCCTAATTCTATTGAAATTGCTTTCTATACAACAAAGTTTTCTAACACAGATATTATCAAGCAATTTTTTTAGTGTAAGATAAAGATAAATTTTAACATTTAACAATCCTGTTTTGAATGTTTAATTTTTTGCCCGCCAAAATCAAGATATTTTACCTGAAAATTCCATAGTGGCCTCTCAGACTTTTCTGGGCCACTGTAAGAATTTAGATTTTTACACTTGATATTTTCAAAAACTTAGGAAAAGTTCTATTGTGCAGATTGCTGTTGCTCTCTCTCAGTGCCCCTTCAGAACACACTATTTGGTTTAGCACGGCAACAGGAAAATAACGCGAGATTACAGCAAAAAGGCCTAAAGATCACATACGCCGTGATTTATCTGTGATAACGGGCTTCATTTTTATTTTAAGTCATGAACTACGCTTGGGGCTCCCCTCAGCAGGGCATGTGACTTACTCTCCGCGGGTTCCTTGGAGCGCCGGCCGCTGGACGACGACTTCCTCAGCAGGCTCCGTCCTGAGGTAAAGAGGCTGGTCAGTTCTTCCAGAGGACTGGTGGGTGTTCGCGAGCGAGAGCCGCCCGGGGCCGCCGCCCCGTACGTATTCACCGAGGCGTTGACCATTTTGGCGCCATCTTGCGACACTGGCCTGGGGGTGGAATGAGGCACTGATGGAGAGCTCCTTGAGAGGCTGCCCGAATGCACAGCGTCGTAGGGGGGAGGCCTTTTGAGGCTGAGGGGCGTCAGGGACCTCCCCATGCTCACCGGGGAGGGAGAGGTGGAATGACTTTTAGGATAGCCGTGCGGAGACTGGGTTCGGTACAGAGTGGACGGGGGCGGAGGAGACGAGGACAGCGCGGAAGTGGCAGAAGCAGGTCCCAGGGCTCCGGTCTGGTCTTTGTCCAGTTTAGCGTGGCCGGGGGTGTGAGACGGCAGGGAGGACGGAGACGCTCCAGCCGACTGCTTCATGTAAGACACGTTTTCCAACACGGGCAGCTTGGTGACCTCCAGGGGGGTCAGCGGAGACTCGTCAGAGTTGGGGGAGCAGTGCACAGGGGCCGGAGGGAACACCAGCAGCGGGGGTCTGTGGGAAAGCAGGTTGGGGAAGGGCGGGGGGATGTCACAAAGCAAACCCTTAGGAGTACATGGCACTGAGGACTTGGCGAAGTCCAAGTCAGGCACCGTGGGAGTAGCACACTGTGAAGAACAACTGTGATGGTCAAAGTCACATTTGGAGTCTTGGCCTAAGTCGTCAAAAATGGGGTACTTCATTTCCTCATAGACGGCCTCGCTCTGGTCGTCGTCCTCTTTCCTGAAGTCTCTGAGGATGTTCCCCACCATCTCGATGTACACGGGCTCCTCTTCCTCGGGGTCTCCTGCGGGGCTGCCGACATGGGACAGGGAGGAATCCCGGGTGAGGGACGTCCTCCTGGGCCCGTGCTTTTTGACGTACGTTTCATCGAAAGATGTGCTAAGTTGGGTGTTTGGATTCCGTTTCGGTTTGGGTGGAGGAATCTTCTTGGAATATTCATCACTGTGGGGTCTTGGTTTGGTCGATACTAAAAGAAGGAAAAAAAAATAGTAAAAGAGATGAGTGTGATAAGAAAACTTTAAAAAATGATTTGCACTTGGGTCTACTGCTATAACATTTTGGCTAAAGGGGTAGTCTGCTTCTTTTCTGGCTTGAGGCTTAGACTGAAAATCAACAAAAGGGTGAAATTGTGATGGCAGAATAATCATTCTTATCTTCGAACCAATATTAATAATCCAACACTGATAAATGCATTAAAATCAGGAGTATTCACCAGTCTACCTTATAATTTCTAAATAGAAGCTTTCAGATAAAACATGTTGGATAAGAGCAATCACAAATTTCATAAAAATTAACCTTCAAGAATTAAGTGAGAAAGGAACTCAGGAGGAAAAAAGAATGTCTGTTAACAGAAATAGTCCCCAAAATACCATGGAGACTTAGCCCTTTTACTGATGTGGCTATTACATACAATCACATCTTGCTTGCATTTAGGATAAAAATTTCCCAGCCTGCTAGACTTAATCTCTGTCTTGGTTCAGATAAATAGCTTCTATATAGATGGGTCTGATACTTCAGGGGAAATTGATGTGAAAATCTTATGAGGCTAGACAAGTTAATCTCTAAATCTCCAGGTATTGTTGATTATGGTGTATTTGTCTGTTTTTGTTCATAAAATCCCTTATGATATCCCAAATGCTGTCTTGGAATGAATTTATTAGATAGGTTCCACTGACACAGCGAAATATCCGAGAGTTTTAAAAGAGAATAACTCAGGGAATGATATGTAAGCTTCAAGAATAACTTCTGAAAACTCAAAACAGATATGTGTACCAACACATCCCGCAGCCTGCTGCAAGCCCCCCTTTTTTTGACAGAACATAAACTTCTGACACCATACAGTAGGGTGGAACAGGCTGGCAAATGTCTGTGACTGAAATGAATTGTTTAGCATGCAGAGAAGGTACCTGTGTCTTGTTATTATCTCATTATCTCATTGTGTTGATATATGATTACAGTGATTACCATTATTATGCAATGTAGCAGAGTGTAGTTGCTTACAGTAGAAGATAGTATATAGTGTAAATTGACAGTATAGCTTAGGGTTGTAAAACCGTGAGGAAATAACAGGCTTCTCTATAATGTGCAGCCTGAAGAGAGGGGTCTAAAGGCCCAATTCAGAAAATATCTGAATTCTTTGTTTATTTTCAACTAGAATAGCTTATGACACAGGAGTACTTCTGAAACTTACTAAAGGAGAGGAAAAGTGCTTAAGGACAAGTTACTCTAAGCATCAATCTTTCCTTAGGCATGAAGGAACCAATCAAATACTCTAGTAGTGACTATGTATCTCACTCTGGTTTCAAACATTCTATGCCATTGTACCGGTGATCATAATTTACTTACTACAACCAAACAGCTTTTTGAAGGGAAGGTTGTTAATGTAGGTTGTTAATATATCTAGACTTTTCCTTTAACCCATACTAGGAAAAACTAGATGTCATTTTCCAGGGAGCTGTAGCAGTGAAGTCTTTCAATGACCAAGGTAAAAAGCCTAGAGACTTGATGGAGTGAAAACTACCCAGTAAGTCATTCTTTAGGAGGGACCCAAACTCCCTGTACCACCCAACTTGGCATAAATTTTACTAGTTTTGAGATCTACTGAGTATATTAATTTTCATATGATTTAAATAAGTCATCAGATTATATAGAGAAATTTGAGCTCTAATAAAACTATAAACCAATGAACAAGGTTGACTGACTTAGTACTGGAAGAATTTGAAATAGTCAGGACTTGGAAGAACAAAAGCACACCCAAAGTGTTCTTCTGAAGCTTGTTTCCTGCCATCCTCAACCTAGGAAATTACTCAAGACTAAGTTACTCAGGCTCTGGGAAAATATTTGCCACAAATATTGGTTTCTTGGGATTGAATTGTGTGGGGTTGACGGAATCTTTTGAGGAGAGGAGTCTAAATAGCGAAGTACTCTATGAATGGCGGGTTAACCTGAGGCCAGGAATTAGGGTATATCCATGAGATGAATAACTTCATTATATGAAAACAAGATATTTAGAATCCGATTTTCATTTTTCTTCCTCTTAAACTATAATTCACTTTTATTTTCTTTGACTCTTCACTGAAGTCTCATACTTCGACATAGACTATGGAGAGAAATAATAGTACAAGAATTCAAGTATCTACTGAGTTTCTTTCTAGGTAGCAGTGAGGTTAGGTTATAGTCCCAGATTCCACAGGCTGAGAGGCTATCAGTGGTAGATCTGGAAGTAGATGGTATTCAGGGAAGGAACAGAATATGAATGACACTGGAGACGGTGTTTCTCTTTTCCACACAGGTGACCCTTGGAATGGATAAGACCAATAATTGGGTTATACTCAAAATGCAAGCAAATGATACTTCATTTTGTTTGACAAAAGAAACAAACAAAAAAATATATAAAGACCCTCTATATACATGAAATAATTGAAGAAAGAGAAGTTTCGATTCCAGAGCACAACATATTTATGATTTAGGTGAAACGACTATTTATTAAGAAGGAATTTCGACAACCTATTTATGTCACAAGAACAATTTCAGTGACACACCAAGTATAGATATTGCCTGACAAGGGAAAGAGAATATAATACATGACTCTTTGGGTAACTATGAGATGATCAAAGTTGACAGTTGTTATTGACTGAATTGTGTCCTCCTCCCCCCACAAAAATTTCATAAATTGAAGTCCTAACCTCCAGTGTGATGGTATTTGGAGATATATCCTTTGGAAGATAATTAGGTTTAGATGAGGTTATGACGGTGAGACACTCATGATGTGATTACAAGAAGAGACACCAGCGAGCTAGCGCATACACTTTCTCTCTCACTCTCTCTCTCTCCCTGCCATATGAGAACATGGAGAGAAAGAAGCAGCCCCTTTCTTTCTCTCCCCACCACCCCAACCCAGTGCCATATGAGAACACAGAGAGAAAGCAGCAGTCTACAAACCACATAGAGAGCCCTTACCAGTAGTCAACCAAGCTAGCACCTTGATCTTGAACTTCTAGCCTCAAGAACTGTGAGAAAATAAATTTTTGTAGTTTAAGCCACCCACTTATTTTGTTACTGCAAAATTAGTTTAGTGACCTAAGACAAGGATATTTATTGAGTCCTATGTAAAGGCCCTTTGCAGTTGAATGATGAGCACCCACTTTAATTTCATCCTCTGGCATTGGAAGACTTTAACTGGCTTTGTCATTTTAGAATTAACGCAACTGTTTTCCAGCACTGTAAAATTCTCCTGTCCCCTGACTCTGACTCCTCACTTCCTGCAATTATGTCACAAAGAGCACCTCCCAGCTACATACAGAGATGCTCATCCCAGACACCTGCCCAGGAGCCAGCTTCCACCACATGCCTGTGATGCTGCATCTTCCTGATCTGACCCAATAGCCTCTCTTTATAGAAGGCATATGCTACTTCAGTCTGACCTATTCTCTGGATGTTTGTTTGCTGTTGTTTGCTTTGGTATACTTACACCCTGCTCCATGTTGCTCTGCTTGTTCAGCCCACAAACTGAAGTAATTCTCCAGCTAGCTTTGCCCAGGGAATTCCCCATTATCTGAGCAAGCTTCTTGTTTCTTTCCTTCCCTGCCTGGTGAAGGGAGCCGAACGTATATAGATTCAGACAAGTCAAGCAATCCCCCTCCACACCCCATCCTCCTCCTTGGCATTGATCCAAATTTGAAATGAGGGTATGAGGATATTTAGAGAGGAAAGGGTTATAAATTATGATGATCGAGATGAATAAACAAATCCATTCCTTCAATATCAAGGAAGGCTTTTTTTCCAAAGGAAAAAAAAATCTGTTTTCCTTTCCATACCCTCCCCCCTTACAATCTCATTTCTGTGGAAAATCAGGAGGAAATCATTTCTTTTCTAATAAAGTGATTTTTCTTCCCATTTTCCATATATCATCTGGCTTTACATTAGTGTAAGTATTGAGTAAATAATTTATAGAACAATGAAGATGTGTTTCAACTGTCATACGTGCCGTGTTAAAAGTTTATCTATATAAGGAAAAGTCTGAAATTTGATGCAACATTGTCCCATAATTTATTCTACTTTAACCTCACTCTAAAAATTAAAAGTTAAAAAATTCATTTAAAATGCTATTTTTATAAGGTACTTAAAAATAGTCTTCAACTACATACATAGATGCTGAAACACTGCTAATAAAAGACAATACAATTGTATTGCAAATTTCAACCATATTTAACAATAATAAAAAGGTGATTTTTATCGCTCTTTAATAAATTTTAAATTATTTCTAATAAGCCCAAAGATAGAAGCAATAATTCCTGTTCAGCTCCAGAACACAAATTTTAATGCTTAAAATAGTACAATGACAGTAGCACTGAATAAGCAGAAAGTGACATTTTTTTAAATGAGATATCTGAGCATAAAGGTTATGCATGGCTTTCAGTCAGGCCCAGATGATCTGTCTTTCACAGTTAATTTTGGAAATTCATCACGTCCCTTGTCAACCTATCTTTCAGAAATACTTTTTTCTTATTAGAAAAAAAGTCACATAAAATCACACTTAGTATCTGTAGATGTTCTTGACCCAAGAGGTGAAAAAGAAACACAGCACAAGTCAGCATTTCCCCTTCTAGAAAGACTGTGGCCACAGAATCTCATAATTTGAAGGGTTTTTAGGGATTATACAGTCCAAACTCCATATATTACTGGTAAAAAAAATGAATTCCTTACCAATCACATTATTTATGAGAATTTCAACTATAATCTTTAGTACTCTTTCAAACAAAGGAAAACAATAAGGGAAAAAGCTATATAGTTCATTATTTTGTATATGGCATAAAGTATCATTTTAAACAGTCCTCTCAGCCCATGTTAGAATAGTGGAATTATAACTTTGTATATCTTGTTATAGAGAGAAATGTAAACAGGTAATTTAAACTGGAAAATGTGGGTCCACCGAAGGAAAATAACGTCCACACTGTGCAATAGTGG